CTCTTTCTAAACCCCTTAGCTCTTCCCAGTAAGTTCTTGTTTTTCTTCCGCACGTTGCCATGGCTTCATCTTCTCGTAGGCATTCTGAGGGGTCGTTTGATGACGGTTGTTGCTCTGGTGATGACCTAACGGTCAATAAGCGTGGGATGCCACCTCGGCCTCCCCGCTATTCTCTTAATTTCAACAACGTTCGGCATCAACGCCAACATATGATTTCTCATGAGCGGGGACTGATCCCCCAACTGTTCCCTTCCCCGCAAGGCTGGGACGTTCGAACCATCCATCATCCCATGCGGCATTTGCCCGGTCATGTGGTTGTCCACTTGGACTCCGTGCTTGCCGGGCTCCTTTTTCCCTTGCTACCTTTCCATCTTTCTTTGTTTAGTGGACTTGGCATAGCCCCGACACAGCTCGTCCCCAACTCCCATCGGATTATCGATGGCTTCATCATTCGCTACCACGATGCAGGGGTCGACCCTTCTGTGAATCTGTTTCTGCATTTTTTCCGGCTCTCCCCTAATGGGCAAACGGGTTACCTTAACATTGTGGCCCGTCCATGGAGAGTCCTCTTCTCCAACAACCCGTCAAATCCGAATGGCTGTGAAGAGAGATTCTTTTTTGCCGAGGTTGGGTCCACTCTGCCATTCTATGACTGGTGGAATGCCTTCCCGGTCATGTTTGAGCCTCCGACTCTGAGCTCGGTCGAGCTAGAGCAAGCCGCACGTATTGCTAGTTCGGGGGTCCAAAACCTACGTTTGCTAGTGAATGACACCAATCTGAACAAGGATGGCATAGGTACGTCCCCATCACAGCCCGGGTTTTGGACCTTTGTATTGTGACTTTAATGATCGCTCTGACTATTGTATTTTCTTTGTGCAGGGCTTTTCCCCAAGTTCATGGAGAGTCCTCTTCTCCAACAACACGTCAAATCCGAATGGTTGGGAAGAAAGATTCTTTTTTGCCGAGGTTGGGTCCACTCTGCCATTCTATGACCGGTGGAAAGCCTTCCCGATCATGTTTGAGCCTCCGACTCTGAGCTCGGTCGAGCTAGAGCAAGCCGCACGTATTGCTAGTTCGGGGGTCCAAAACATACGTTTGCTAGTGAATGACACCAATTTGAACAAGGCTGGCATAGGTATGTCCCCATCACAGCCCGAGTTTTGGACCTTCGTATTGTGACTTTAATGATCGCTCTGACTATTGTGTTTTCTTTGTGCAGGGCTTTTCCCCAAGTTCACCGTCATGGTTTCTCGTGGTGACCTTCCTCCTATCTCGGACCGGGCCGATGTTGGTAAGGGGAAACAAATTTTGGGTGACGATCCGTGCCTGAAGAGGCCCAAGATCGAGGGTCGTGCTGGGGACGAACGGCTATCCAAGAAGCCCCATCCCGCGGAGGGGTCTTCCAAAGTTGTGGTGATCCTGGATGGGTCGGATGATGAAGCTGCCTTCCCCACCGAGAAGCACTCCTCTTCTTTGGTGGGTAAAACGATGTGTGCTCCCCAACCGCCCAGGGTCTGAGGATTCCTCCTTTGGCATCATCGAATTCTCCGAGCTTGGTACCCGTGCAGAATCAAAGAAGTTGTTCGGTCAGACGGCCTCCTCCATTTGGTGTTCTTTGGGGTTGAAGGTTCCATGAGATTTTGCTGCCTACGAGTACCCGGTGGATCTTCATGAATGTGGCCTCAACACTCTTAACAAGGCCGCCATTTACTTCAGCAAGGTGCGGTTTTGAAAATCCTCCATGATTAGATCTGGAATTTTAAGTTCAAGGGTTCGTGCTTTTCTTCTTTTCCTTCATTCTTTTTCAAAATCAAGGTTAAGTGGTTGCAATCCTTCACTCCCTTGAGAGCGAGTATGCATACACTTTTTTTAAGATTTTTTTTTTTTGGTGCACGAGAAATGCTTTTCTTTTTGTTTTTTTTTGCAAAAGTGATGAGAACGGGTAAAAAAAAAACTTAGTCTCCAGATAAATAATAACAAACACTAATATTAACTAATTATCAATCAATAACACTATGCCATTCCCCGGCAACGGTGCCAAAATCATGACATGCCAAAATGTGTAGTGTGAAATGGTGTACAATGTGAATGGAAATGATGTTTTAATTGGCTTGTAACGATATAGTATAGAGTAAGTGAGTATCGTTCCGCTAGAGAATGGCTCAAAAAGAGAACTAGAATTAATGATTGATTTTTAGCTAATCACAAATTGATAACATTTTGAAATGGAGCTAAGTGAATAGATTTTTTTTTAACTTGTTTTTGTTAATGCGAAATTGCTAGAGAGTAAAATAAATCACAATACTTGGTAATTTAACAATTAATGATATAGAGAAAATTAGGCTTGGGCTAAGAGTAATTTTATTTTGATGTTCATAATAATAAAGATTTAACTAATTAACTTAGTTACTTTTAGATGTGTGAAAGATTTACAAATGGTAATCTTCTAATCGTTCCCACGACTTAGTTGATTACACTATCTTAAATTAATTCTGCTCCCGCAGTAATTTTATTAAGACAGTAAAAAGTACAAAATCAAATTATCCTAAATTCCTTAACACTTCCGTGTAGCAATTTAGTGGGTGAATTAATAAAAAGTATTTTAATGAAATTTCACTCCCGTGATAATAGTCATTTCCCAATATAATGTATTTAGCAGATTAGAATATTCAACCCAACACTCCTAAAATTAACCAAGTAATAGTTTTAACCAATTATTATCGTATGAACATTAACAATAAAAATTACATCTTGCCCAAACCTAAACTTAATTTAGTTACACATAATAACGGTAAATAAAATAAAAGTAAAAGTAATGATAGGCATAATTAATTTAACAGATTAAAGAAAATAAAATGCGTATTTGAAAAAGAACCTGATGGCATAAATAATGAGATGGAATAGAGAAAGTGAAATCCTTAAGCTGAGAATGATTCTGGCTGATACTTCCCAAATGAACTTGATTGTTGAAATTAAAGAACTAAAATTCTGGAAATGGAAATTACGAACTGAAATTTACAGAAAGTGTTCTTGACAGAATCACTTTTATTATATGACTACTACTATGAACAAAGTTAAAGAAAAGAGGAAGAAGATTTCTCTCCAAATTGGTGTCTTTTGCAGCTCATGGATGGCCCTTTAAATAGAAGTGGAAGAAGGGGTTAGAGCATCAAAACTCCTAAAATGAAGGTGCTGAAAATAAATTTTGGTTGACTTTCACTTCCACCTTCTTGATTGCCACCTTCTTGATTTCTTTCTGCAAATAGTATCAATCAATTGTGCATTTTTTTCTTCGTTTGCTACTGTTCTGGATCTTTTTGATTGCAGAGTGAAAGATGATGAAGACAATTGCAGTTTGCTCCTCTGGACGGATCCTGGTGAGACTTCTAGAGATCAGGGCGTACTCCCTGACTTGGGAAATGGAACATGACAACTTTCACTATGTTGTAATTCTGATTTAACTCCGAACTCGTGTACGATATGTACTTCCTGGCCGGTAGAGCCGATGAATAAATGCAGCACTTTATTTGCTATGGTTGTCTTTCATTCCTTGATGTTGTTATCTTTGTTTCGTTACCCGATCGTCGTATCCGCCCTTTCAAGCTCGGTCCTTTGGATCCTGAGCTTGAGCTAAACTGCCAAATTTGGTGAGGAACGAATTTATCCCCTCTGGGATTTCCTGATTCTTTGTTTCGTCGTCAGTTCGTCATACCCGCCCTTTAGCCCGGTCCTTTGGATCCTGAGCTTGAGCTAAGTCGCTGAATTTGGTGAGGAACGGCTTTATCTCCTTTGGGGATTTTCTGATTCTTTGTTTCGCCATCCGCTCGTCTTACTCGCCTTTTAGCCCGGTCCTTTGGATCCTGAGCTGGGCTAAGCAGCGATTGTGATGGGAAACAGGTTTATTCCCTTTGGGGATTCCCCGGCCCTTTTTTGGGCTTTTCTTCGTTTCACCATCCGCTCGTCTTACCCGTCCTTTAGCCCGGTCCTTTGGATCCTGAGCTGAGCTAGGCCGCGATTGTGACGGGAAACGGGTTTATCCCCTTTGGGGATTCCCCATTCCTTTGTTTTGACATCCGCTCGTCTTACCCGCCCTTTAACTCGTTCCTTTGGATCCTGATCTGAGCTAGGTCGCGATTTTGATGGGAAACGGGTTTATCCCCTTTGGGGATTCCCCTTCTCTAAGAGTTATGTCTCCCTATCCCCCCCCTTGGGTAAAAGGAAATCTTGAGTGAGTTTATTGATAGAATTTCTTCAGGTGTTCCACGTTCCACATGCCGGTGGATCGGAATGTTTGGAGGAGGAACGCCCCCTAGGAAAGCTTATTGCAGACCGTGTACGGTGTAGCACCGTCCCCAAGCATATTTACTTTTAGTAAATTATGTAATAAACCTTGAAGGATGATTTATGAATTTGCGTAAATGTAAATTTTATTAATTCTTTTACGTGAATAGTAAATTGCATGTGGGGCCCACGCCCGGACCGGGGGGGGGGGGGGGGGGGGGTCGCCCGATAATTCCCGAACCGCATATTATATTCATCTTGGTCTAGATGACATCTACATAGAGGTGTATATTTTATTTGGGCCATAAGAAAGGCATGGAGTTGACCGGTTGGTCAAACGGTGCCCAATTACCGGTATTGGTAATTTAGCGGATAACAGCCCGAAATTAGTTTCGGAGGCTCCTAAATTAATGTTGGGGAATGTACATCATTTCTAAAGGCCCAAAATTGTTGGGAACGCGTGATATATTTTATCCGGCCCGATAAAATAAAATATGACTAAAGTAGTCCGATAAATACAACTTTCGGGGCCAATTATACACACCGGGATATAATGGGATGACCTCCCACATAAGTGGGGGCCACCCCACGACCCAATGTGCTGCAAATGACAAGGAAGCAGCTGGGGGGTGTACCTAGTAGGTGGGAAGTCTCCAAGAGACAAAAACCCATACCCACCATGATCCTACCCTTCCTATTATTGGGAGCAAGTGGTTGTGAGGAGACTTCCTCTATCATTTTGCATCCTACGGATGATTGAGAGGAGGGAGAGCTCTAAGACATAGCCTCACAAAGCTCTAGCTAGGAGAAAGCAAGAAGGGAGCAAATCCAAAGGAAATTAGCAAGAACACAAGGTAAGAATCCAACTAGTATTCTTTAACTAGTTTTTTGTATATGATTTTTAAGAAATCATATGGTGGATTAAACTTCGGGTTCTACACGTTTAAAAAGTGTAGAATATTGATATAAAGTGGTGGTAATTAACTTAGAAGGGTTGGCAAATCGATAGGAGTCGAAATCGCCGGAAACCGCCACTTCAAAGGAGCTAGTCGTAGTTGCAGACCACGAAAGCTGCCCGACTTTCGTGAAAGCCACCCGGATTTGGCCCAGAAATCCAACTTCTCACTTTCAATCGGCCTAGAACGGGGATTGATCGAGGGGCTTAACAAAGGCAACTATTGTAGCACATCACGAGGTGAGGATGGCTGACTATATTGCTTATAATTGTTGGGTTAATTTCGTAAGATTACCTAAGTTATTAAATGTGATTTTCATGGATTATTAATGAATAATAATGCCTAAATGAAAATACTATTGCATGTGAAAAAGTGAAGCATGATATACAAATTTAGAGTAAATTGTGTATGATTATGTGATATGAAAGTGAAGGTATGATGATGGGATTAACTGTGATAATATTATGATAAAATATACTTTTACTTCATGTATGAAATTCATGAATGGTTAAAAGTGATATTTTTGATATTTGGGTTAAATTATATTTGGATTGGAAAATCAATTGAGATGAATTAATTGGCTATGAGTTAAGAACTTGGCGGTTCTAAGAATTATCCGACTAGTGTTGGAATACTAGTCGGGAGATTAATATAAATAAATGATGGATTTAATCCTAAGAGATAGGATTGTAAATGGGTATGCCTTAAGTAGTCTTAAGAGATACTTTAAGGTTGAATTGTATGAACACTAAGGTGTGGTAGGGGTAGGCCTAAAGGCTACCCAAGTGAATTGATTCTAGGCATAGGATTTGCTTGAGAATTGGACTATGAAAATAAAGTAGAGTTGGACTCTAGGATTGCATGGAAATGTAGTTGGGCCGAGCCCTTGCCATGTATTGTGATTAGCATGGAAACGTAGTTGGGCCGAGCCCTTGCCATGTATATGTGATCTCTGTGGAAACGTAGTTGGGCCGAGCCCTTGCCACGAAGTTATGGTTGGTATGGAAACGTAGTTGGGCCGAGCCCTTGCCATACAATTTTAATGCGTTAAATCGAGTTAGAGGATTTTATAAAAATGTAGTTGGGCCGAGCCCTTGCTATAAAATTAGGGCTCGATGGGACCCTACGGGGTTATCGTGACATGCAGTCACGGGGGAAAGAAAATAATGAATTCTAAATGAATATGGGCCCACGGGCCGACTACTTGACTCTATATAAAGTAAGTACAGTTAAAAGAAAAAGGGGTAACCGAGGATTATGGCCTATAGTATAATATCACCCTAAGTTGAGGGTCTTAGAAATTGAAACGTCAATTACACTTAGTATAGTTGCTATTGTACTTGTCAAATATTTCCAAGTACTGACCTCCCCTTCACGGGGGAGGCCACCTCACAGTTTCAGGTAGAACTTGAAGGTTGCTGCCACTGCCCGTTGCTTCGGGATGATCAAAGGGAGAAGACGTGGTTCGTGCTTCTTCCGTTTCTGTTTGAAAATAATTTAAATAATGCTCATGGATTTTGTTTTTGAATAATTATTTGGGGGCTTGTATGCCCATGTTTGCCAAGGTGTGGCATAAACACTTGTGTTAAATGTTTCCGCTGCTATAAATGTTTATTTTACATTATGTTTGTTTATGGAAGTACTATGTGTGAATGGTATTCAAGACGCCTTGTATGGTATGGATGAGTCGGACTGCGGTTGACTATTCGTACCGTACGGCGGGTTGTTGACGTGTCCGGGTAGGTCCGGGGCGTGACAATTTAATTGGTATCAGAGCCTTAGTCCGTAAACATCATAATGAAGCTTCAAAATTTCTTTTTGAAAATGAATTTGAAAACCATGAGCATAATGTTTTGTACTTATAGAACTTTTGGTACTTGAGTTGCAATGTCTCTAATTGTTAAGATGGCACCCTTAACAATTGGTATGGCGGTGATTTGAGCCAAAGGATGTCTTTAAGTACCTATCTGTCAATTGACATTTGATACGAGTCTAATGACTCATTCTCAATTTCTTTCAGAAATGGAACGTACCGGGAAAGTAACTAGAAGGAACCCAACTGGCCGAGCACCGGGAGGATCCATGCAAGGCAGTAGAGGGGCTTCTAGGGTGTCCAGAGGACAGGGCCGTGGGGGCCAAGCTCAGACCGGGAGTGACGGTTATGTTGAAACAGTCAACGAATCTTATGAGTCCGAGGAGGATTCGACGTATCAACCGGGATCTGAGCCGGTTGAGACCCCATATGATGGGGAATATGATGATGCTAGTGAGGGGAGCGACGATGATGACGCTCTAGAAAGGATGGAGGAACTGCTCCGTCAATTTCAGCAGGATCGCCAAAGGCGCCGGGCAAGGCGTGCTTTGGGAGGGGCTTCAAGAAGGGGAAGCCATGCGGGTTCTAGGGGTCATGTGGAGTCCCGAGTAGATCGAGGTGTCGAGGTCCCGATAATAAGGATCTCGAAGTACCTCAAAGAAGCAAGAGATTTGGGGTGTAAACCGTTCGATGGAATGGGAGATATATCCGTTGCGGCGGAGTGGATCAAGAGGTTCAATGAAGCGGCCCTTGATATGCAGCTGCCACCAAACATGAAGATGAGAGTAGCAACAAGGTTGCTAGAGGGGATGGCGTCCACATGGTGGGACGGTGTCAAGGGGAAGTACGGTGAGGCCGAAATTTCGCCAAACATATTATGAATGTGATTTTCACCTGATTTCATGAAACTTGAACCAAAATATCTAAAACATGCTTTGTTTTTCTGTTTTCTATCCAAAACTCGCTTAATTTTGATAAGAAAAATAAGTACAAAAATGGACTTATCAGGACCTTACTTTGGCGGGGCGTGAGCGGCTTTGGAAGCTCCACGAGTTGGATGAGTGGAGGATTATGGCCTATGAGAACTCTAAAATTAGTAAAGAGCGCATCAAAGCCTATCATGGCTGACATATTAAACAGGGAAAAGAGTTTTGTAAGGGGGATCAAGTTCTGCTATTCAATCCCCAAATGAAAATCTTTAAAGGAAAGTTGAAATCTAGGTGGTCTGGTCCTTTTGTAGTGAGCCAAGTTTTTCCGTACGGTACAGTTGACATTGATCATCCTGAGAATGGCCGTTTCAAATTTAATGCCCCCCACCTGAAGAAGTACAACGGAGGACCGTTAGATCGCGAGCATGAGGTGACCTTCGTCACAAATTTTGAGATATGAGTGCGTAGTTGCGTCGGGAAAACGACGTTAAAAATAGCGCTTCTCGGGAGGCAACCCGAGCTTAATTTTTGCTTCATTAGTGTAGTTTTACTGCTTTTCAAAAAACCCACAAAAACAATAAAAAATCATTTTTGACCTGTTTTTGGCATGCACGCTGTGCCTGCTCAGAAGGCACGTCGTGCGTGCATGCAAGGGGAGCGCTTGAGGCTACTGCCAGCTAGGCACACCGTGCGTGCTCAGTAGGCACGTCAAACGTGCACGCAAGGGGAGCGTTGGAGGCTACTGCCAGCCATACACGCCATGCGTGACTGTTACGCGCGTTGTGCGTGGCTTATTAAATTTTTTTACACGGAACTTAAAACACACCCCACGCACGCCCTTTTCCATTGTTCATACGACACGTGCAGCTTTCCCCCACTTTGATTCATCCATCCGGCCTGAATAAGCCCTTTAGGAGAAGCCACTTTGAACTTGTCCATTTTGTTCTTTACCTGATTAATAGAGTTCCATAGCCATATTGCCTTTGTTTCCTTACCCGTGAATAATTCTGACAAAGTCTTGGTGTTTAGGGAACTTGGGGATTAATTTTCTAAGTTTAGAGAATTTTGTAGGAGCCAATTTTGGCACTGTTCTTATGCCCCTTATGGGGTAAGAGCAGTCACTTTTTAGGAATTTGATATTTTCGAGAATTGCATTGTAGGCACGGATTCATCCTTTTAAATGAACTTTAATTGCTAATTTTCCTTGGTGAGACCGAGATTAGAATGGGGTAATGTCTAGTACAAATCTTAAAATTGAAAAAAATTAATTAAATTAGCTAGACCTCTTACCTTGTGAAAAAGGGAATGGGAGACCCGGTCAAAAAGCGTAAGTGTTTTGCACAATAAGATGAGACTTGGGGATCTTTCGAAAGAAATGGCGTTCTCATGTGACGAGCACTTTGTCACGGTGCGTCAAAATAATTTCAATACTAAACACTTATACGTAGTATAGCATAGTAGAGTTCGTATCCACAGGGAAAGGAATGATTCTCTTTTTTTTTTAAAACTAGTAATTAAAAAGGGGGGTTTGGTTTTGAGTGATTTAATTCAATTAAGAAACTAAGATGAACAACCTATATGTGTTTAATTCAAGAATAAAAGGGACTTGGCTTTGCTACTTTCCACTTGTTGATATATTTTAGTCGATCCTTGTTATATCTATAACTTATCCCCTCTCGAATACTCAATCGAGGAGTATCTCCAATTTATCGAGGGTAGTTATTAACAACGACCGTTCATTAATAACCCTTACTATTAATCAAATATAGAACAACGCCGTATACCGATATAATAGTAGCATTCAATCTTTTTAACTCCTTGATAAAATCAATTGAGATTGATAACCTTAACACAACGGTTTCGGTTTAACCAACAAAATTGATCCCTCTTAAGTTTATTAACCACGACCGTGCATTAATAACCCGAAGTTACTTACTTATGAAACCACAAACGATTAACAATCGGTTCGTTGATCGTTTCTAGTAGTAATTAATGCCGGAACGTTAACTAATCGTCACTTAGCAACCCTCCAACATTAATATAGAATGAGATTAAGGGAAGAATTAATAATCAAGAGAAGAAGTTAAGAAAATAACTCACAACTTTATTAATCAACAAGCTTCAAGAGCAAAACCAAGAATGGAAGTTTACCTCCTCATTTGGAGACTAAACATAGCTAGAAAAATATAAAGAAATGCTATTCTAAACTGAGCTTAAGAGTATGGAAGAAGGAATCAATAAAAGTGAAGGAAAAATGTGCTATTTATAGGTGTTTTCAACACCCTAGGGAGGATACCCGACCGGGTAAAAGGACATACCCGACCGGGTAAATATCAAAATCAGATATTCTCCACGTTCTGGTGATCTTCGGCACGTTCTGGTGTTCCGGGTCATGTCTGACCCGACCGGGTAGCATAGGGGACCCGACCGGGTCCAACTCTTTCATTGAAATTTCGGTTGTTAAATCAGACCCGACCGGGTGAAGTCTTCTACCCGGTCGGGTATTTGCTCCTGGACAGTAAAACCTCCTTTTTCTTCACTTCAAAGTCATCCTTTTCAACACCATAATTCCTAATTCTACTTTACAACTTACAAATGAAGATTAAAATACAATTACAACTAAAATCACACAAATGTTGACAAACTAAATAAAACGATAAACAATACACATAAATCAAACATAAAAATATACATTTATGCACTACTAATTAGTGCATATCAAATACCCCCACTCTTAAACCTTTACTCGTCTCGAGTAAACCAAATCCAGTCCAAGAAGTCCTTAAAATGACAAGAGTATCAACACAAAAATCCACGAGTGTTTTTAGAAACACACAAAGTATATCCCCAAAAATATAACAGTCAAGAGGGGTCTTCAACTCCATATTTCTTATCAACCTCGACTCTTTTTTTCTCGTTACCCTTAGGATCCTGCAGAAAATAAAAGAAAATACTTTCTCTCGTTTCTCTCATTTTGCCTAGGTGCCCTTTCGGGTTTTCATCCCAGCTTCCCACATTTTTCTACTTTAATCCTCACAACTCACTCTTTTTTTTTGCTTTATTTTTGCTTAAGTTGCCCTTTCAGGTTTTGCAACTTAACAAGCTTTTATAATTTTTTTAACAAGAATAAATAGTATGAATGTGAGTATTCCATAAGACTCTCTCCCTAAGCTAATCCAAGCACTGTCCCTAGTGCTTGTGTCTGTGATGTCCTAGAAGAGGAACCCTTTTGTGGTGACATTTCTTTATTTGTTGGTTGAGGAATTTTCGGATTTTGTATAAGGTGAGTAAGGGGATTTGGATTTTTGGTTATTTGGGAGTTTTTTTTTTTGTGGGTGCAGTGGTGAAGAGTGATGAGGAGATGAAGAGAAAAAGGGTTTATTTGGTTGATTTGGTGGAGAAAATGGTGGAAAAGGAGTATGGGTTTGGAATTTGGAAGAAATGAAGTGAGGAAGAGGGTGGTGTGTCCGCCCCTTATCGGGCATTTACCCGTTTGCCCGGCCGGGTAGAGTAAGAGACCCGATCGGGCCTAAGTGCTCATTATCCAGAGAGTGTTTTAACAAAAACACCCGGCCGGGTATATTTGTTGACCCGGTCGGGTTATTTGCTCCAGGGGCGGGTCTTTGCCGAAAAAAATGTCCGTCCGGGCGAGGTTATGCGAGTAGGGTATTTTTACTCTATACCCGACCGGGCGTAGTGTGGTACCCGGCCGGGTATGTTCCCCAGGCAATTTTTTTTTTGAAGCGTAAACTTAAACTAGAATAAAAAGTAAACATACCTTACATGGGTTGCCTCCCAAGAAGCGCCTTATTTAACGTCGCGGCACAACGCCATCGTTGTGTTCAATCGTTTAAGCTTGGATCGTGATAACTCATCTTCTTCAATTTTTCACCCGGGTGACTCTTATAGAAAGACTCAGTTTTTCGACCCTTTATTTTGACCTTTCCGGGATCAAATATCCAGATTTCTATCGCTTCATATTGTGAGAGTGTTGGTCCATGACTTTCATTAAGCATGGTCAATGGAAGGGGTTTTGATCCGGGTGGTATAAGACGGAGTATGAAATATTTGTGTAATCCCACCGTTATTCCTTGCTTATTTGTGAACAAAGAGAAGTCTAAATTATACTCACAATTGCTGAAGATTTCATAGATATCTTTGTCCTTCTCCACCCTTTGTGTTTCCCTTAGAGCCTCAGGAAATGGTGGCATGATCTCAGGAATGGCTGGTGGTTGAGTTGAGTTTTGAGGTTCCTCCTCCGGTTGAGCTTTCTCCGTAATCTCCTCTTCTTCCTCCTCGCCCATGTGGTTCACAATGCTTGGCATTTGTTTCAACTGATTGTCCAAGTTCTGTTCGTTGGACACTGCTTCTTGTGAGCATTGTGACATATTTTGTTGCATATTTGTCACATTGATAGTGAGAGCTCGGATCATGTCTTCAGTGGACATGCTGGAATAAGAACATGAGTATGGGCTATATGTGTTGGAGAATGAATCATACCTCTCTTGGAAACCAACACCATTCCTTTGTTCAAAGAATTCTTCTTGAAGCTCTGGGCAAAAATCCGTAAGATGCCTTTGTGACGTGCAAATGTTGCATGTATGGACATCTTGAGATTTTGAACATGAGATAAACTCCATAATTAGAGAAGTCAAGTCGGAAATTTGACTCTCTAGGGGTGATGTGTTGGTATCCATTTACTCATGCAAGCTCATAAAATAGAAAAGTAAGATTTTTCTTTATATTTTTTTTTTGTTTTTTTTTGTTTTTTATTTTTATGAAAAAAAGAAATAATTGCCTCTCCCCGGCAACGGCGCCAAATTTGACGAGCACTTTGTCACGGTGCGTCAAAATAATTTCAATACTAAATACTTATACGTAGTATAGCGTAGTAGAGTTCGTATCCACAGGGA